AAAATATTTAAAAAATCATAAAATAATTGGGGGGGACCTTCTAGTGAGGGGACCTACCAGATGTTCCCCTGTGCTCGTATGTCTGGTATAATAGAAGTGATCCGGATGATTGTGTGTATCTGTGTATGTATGAATGAAAGTGAATGTTTGTCAACATGCAATATTATTACTGTGCCATTAATAGTAAATTCTTATGACAATCCTGTGATAGCTCAGAGCCTTAAAGGTGTCTATACCAGTGTCATTGTGTATTCCTAAATTGGCTAAGAGTGATATTTAAAAGGTTTTCTTAACTGACACACAAACTTTTAAAAGTCCAAATTGTTACAAGGGTTATCATAATGGTTACTTTAAAGAGTAATTGCCAGTGTGAAAGTGTTCATTTAATGACAAATTCCTCTGGAATTATTGATAAATCAACTATTATACTTCTCTGCTCAGAAAATCAGAACTTGTCAGTGTGTGTATGTGTGTGTCATTAAGCTATAACAAGAACCTTGTATGCAATGTAGTAAAAAATCAGTAGAAAACACTTGTAAAGCTATGAAGTAAAGAAACTTTTACTATCTCTAAATTTGAGGTGATTACCCAATATCTTATCATTTTAGCTTATTTGTATTTCATACATTCGAGTCTAAAAGATAGCCAATATTTATTCATTGCAATGCAAAGTTATTACTACTTCCTTCCAAAAAAGTCATTAATGTTATGTTTCTTAATATCACAATCATGAAGTATGTGAAGTGCATTGCAAAAACATAAAAAAATAATTAATATATGATCAGACCCAATAAAGTTACCATGAACATGAATCTAAAAGCCGAAGCTGAATTGTAATTTATTTGAGTTATTCTGGGGCAGCTTAAAGATAACTTCTGTATACAGAGTTAAAATAAAATGTCATTACATGCATATGTCCCAGGATTTTCTTCAATTTCCTCCTCTTTTTTGTACCCTACTACATTGCGCCTCTACAGAGTCTGCCAGAGTTGCATTACCTCTCACCACTATTGAAGGTTTTTCAGAAACAATCAACCAATAAGACAAGATTGAAACACAAGTAAATTTATTTCACCCCTCAAAGTAAATTATACTGGGAAAATGCTTTCAATGACAATAACCTGGGATATTTGTTCAAAGAGAATTTGATATTTTTCTCGCCCGTAATTCCTCAAACCACTGATCCAGAAGTTCTTGAGGTGTTCTTGGACGACTATGATAATAATAATGCTTGGGTGGAGGTCCTTCTTCTAAACGAACTAAGTAGTGAACATGGCCAAGCTTGATTGGATGCATAACACCTCTTGCATGTCTACGGTATCCCATCATTCTATATGAGTGTTCAGGAAAAGATTCAGCTGAAAAAGAGAAACATTTTTCTCCGATATTAAGACAGTTTGGACACAAAGGGTCAAAGATCCTGTTAATTAATTGATATTTTTATTTATGGCAGCTAGGTACTTACCAACCCACAGGTTACTTTTAAACTCTACATTGTGGTCTCTAACAGCTATTTCTTGTGCTTCCAAAATTGTATCTTTTACAATCTTTGCACCTTTTGCGGGTACAAAATTTAACTGATTAACTGCATCATCCACTGAAAGTCCTCTGACAAAGCAAGAAACTATATACAACTTTTTAAAGCTGTACCAAATGTCTCTCTTCTCATGGCACACAAACTGAAACAAATTAAAATCAGATAGGTAAGATAAGTGAACAAAGGGGAAAATTCATCAACTACGTAACTGCACATGAAATGAAAGTGAAAGTAGTAAAGAGATAAAAAGCAAATCAAGAAGCGTAATGTATGAATAAAGGTTTACTTACTGCAGGGCGTCTCTCTTCCCCTTTCTTTAACGGTTCGAAGACCTGATCATTAAGTTGTCTCCATCGTGAAACTTTATTCTCTTTATCAACCAGAACTGCCCAATTTTCCAACGTAGCTCTATTTCGGGATGTTTGTCCAAATAAAACCTCGGGACGAAGTTTCTTGGACAATGCATTGAGGCAGAACATTTCTGTATAAAAACATTGCATACAATTATAACCCCATGTCTAAAACACACATGTAAGTAGGCATTTCAAAACAATGAACGACATACCTCAGTGAGAAACTCCTGTGATAAATTTTACTAAAGCAGTTAGTTGCAAAAGTGTGAAAATGTCAGTAAAAGTGCATTACTTGAAGAGAATTTTCAAAAAATAAATATATGAAGCAAAACCACCAACGAAGAAACGTAATCCTTCCTTGTCCTCCCCAAGCAGAAGACGTGATGCAGATGGGAGAATCGAGTAGTAGCAGTAGCAGAAAGCAAAGCAACAGCAACTGTTGTGACATTTCAAGAAGGCGTAGCTTGTAGCCTGACGTGGCCGACGTTTAGATGTGGTGTTTTGGGAAATTCACAATGATGGATTCGAAGTGTCTAGGATTATTATTTTGCGTTTTATGTACATATCTTACAAATGTTAACGCATATTTCATTACCGTCGATGCACATGCAGAAGAATGTTTCTTTGACAAGGTAGAGACGGGAACTAAAATGGGTAAGTCTTTATGCAGGTTAGGCCGGTCTATTTTGAAAGTCTTATTTTCCTCAAAAAGTATTGTCAAATGTGGTCATTATTTTGGAAGTAACATCCTTTCACTTAATCATGAATCTCTTTTCTACGAATCTGCGAAGGAGTTTCGGATTTCTTTCATTAAGCATGTAATTTATGTTTCAGGTCTAATGTTTGAAATAGCAGAAGGTGGATTTCTGGATATAGATGTTAAAATTGTTGGACCAGAAGGTAAAGTAATTCACCAAGGAGAGCGAGAGACCAGTGGAAAATACACATTTGCAGCTCATACATCTGGCGTCTACACATACTGCTTCAGTAACCAGATGTCAACAATGACACCTAAAGTTGTTATGTTCAATATGGAAATTGGTGAAAAATCCAGTACAGAAGATAAACCAGCTGAAGACGGTAATAAGGTCACCCTTTCAATACTTTTGTTTGCTTGAAGTACAATGTCTAATTTCAGTGTTTTTCCCTCAGGTCACCAAAACCAGTTAGAACAGATGATAAAAGAGCTGTCACAATCATTATCAAATGTCAAGCATGAGCAAGATTACATGCAAGTGAGAGACAGGATTCATCGATCGATCAATGAGAGTACGAACAGCCGAGTTGTGATGTGGGCTTTCTTTGAAGCACTAGTTCTAATTGTGATGACTGTAGGACAAGTATACTATTTGAAACGATTCTTTGAAGTTCGGAGAGTTGTTTGAAATCTTGTGATGTCTTATCCTTTTCCATCTGAAACTTCTATGAATTACCCTGAGGTGATCATCAGAAACGATTGATCACAAAGTTCATTTATAAGATCTTTCAATATGGGGTAACATGGTGTAAATTATTAATTTTGTGTGATCATTTTTCAATTGTGTATTTATGGATGTGAAGTTTTTTTGTGTCATGTATATTTGTCAGTCATTTTGCAATTCAACATATGAAAAAAGGAGTGAGATTTGTACAAATTTTCTTTTGCATCTTTCATATTCCTACCATTGATCTCCCATTCTTTTCTGAACAGTTTCAGCATTGTTCTTTTAATCCTCCTCAGCAAGTAGGCATTTCTTTCAAGTATCCTGCTCTGACTTAAATGGAGCTATTTTATGAGACTTTGTAGGGAATAATAACTTATTGTGTAACTGTTTGAGTAAATGTTTTATGACTTTTGTAATTCATTCCTGATGTTACTATATTGTTTCCTAATCACATTCTTAACTCATTGAATTTTCCAAATTTAAACTTCCTAGCCACTATAAAAGTAACATGTAGGTAGCCAAGTACAGCAAGATAAAGAAATAGGAGCTCACTTCAACAAAGTATGGAGTGCATCTCATGATTACTAGATTACTAGGAAGACACCCCTCATGGCTCGTTGGCAGCTGGAAGGTAATTTCGAATTTGCTCATATGTACACGGGTCCGCCTGAACTCTCAGTTCACAGACGACGTATGGCTGAAGGTGGGAAAATTCTTGACTTCTTGCTCAAGCTTCTTGAGAAAGGGCCGTATAACCAAATTCGAACGAAAGCTATTTTCGCTCCAACTTAGACACATTTGAATCATCTTCCGGTACTACAACTTCCTGCTTCGATCTCTGCTCGAGATCGTTCGCTGCACGCCGCCCGTCCGTCGGAGGTGGTTATCCGCAGTGGTCCCTCCCACGTTGACGTTGGTTAATCACAACACAATTTTTGGGCATAATTGTCGTTTGTAGAGACACAATTTGTTTGCAATGGGGAAGGCAAAGAGAATTCGCAACAGAGGACCACGGCATGATCCTGTTGGTTTGAATGGTAATCAATCTGCGTCTTTGAAAGAAGAGGATGGGGGCAGTAGTACAGAGACTAAAAGCGAGTTGTTGGTAGAAAATGTTGTGGAAAAGGTAAATAAATGGTTGTCAATTGACTGCGGTACATGTAGTCTTTACGACTATTGTTGTATATTGTCTATGTCGTATCTTTAACCTCCGTTACTAGTTGTGAATTGTTTTCTGCTATTCCTCTCTAACCTCCCGAAACACGGGGGTGTTCTGCCGTACCGGTTGCTCAACTATGACAAGTTTATTTTTTCCCTGTTAGCTGCAATCCCATGAAGAAGAAGAGAAAATATCAGGATTATTCATGTTGGCCGATGTCTTTGATGGCAGTACTTTAGCAGAGGTAGCTAAGAATCGCCTTGTACGCATAGCAGGACCATTACTTGTTGATCCTAGTTCCAATGTTCGCAATGCTGCATCTGGTGCCCTCAGGTGGGATTACTATTAAACTTTAATGAAAATCACTGCATTGTACTTCAATTATGTTAGGGAAATAATTCCTATGTCATAATCAATGCCGTATGGTATCTGTTTTCAGGAACTTAACAGCTAGCGGTGGACCAGAATTTTGTGACGTTCTCGTTGAACAGGATATAATGACCTCTCTCTGCTCTCTACTTCTTAAAGTGAGAATCATTCTTTATCTGTATCATTGCTCTGAGTGCTGTTGTCTTTACTCTTATTACTAATAATTTTATCATGTTCCCTTAGTATGGAAATGAATGGCAACCTAAATCATCCGATACACCTGAAAAAGATGTGGACTCTGATACTCTTGTCAATGCCGTGAACATTTTATGGAATTTGTGGTCTGTAGTATTATTGTTTCACTTTTCTTTTATTCCGTACTTATTTCTTTAACTTGAAACTCCTCTTTTTGTGCACAGTGAAAGTAATGCAACTGCTCTAAAGTACTTCAACAATGCACAAATTCTTCCTCTTCTTGTGCGTTGTCTTGATGTCAGTACTTTTGGATTAGATATTTCAACAGCTGTTGGTATGTGATTTTGTGTTATTTCGTACACTAAGGCGTGTCACAGTGTGACTCAAAAAGGCTGTACCTAATTAGGATCTCTGCTGCAGTCTACGACTTTGTACTTTTCTCATTTCAATCTGTATTTTATTTTTATTTTAGCTGAGTGTCTGCACACAGTAACTGAAGAAAATCAAGATGCTGTGTTAAAGATGCAAGACTTGGGGTCCAACCTTCAACAGATCCTTACTTCTCAAAATGAAGATGCAAATGTCATGCTGTTTAAAGTTTTAGTTGCAGGTCTGTCACACTTAGGAGAGTGTTTTTTAGTTGGTGATTTTATTTAAGACTTGTTTTACGGAAGTTTCTTTTTCCATAGGAATTCTCATTAATATTAATTTTGGAGCTGTGGAAGCCATGGACCCCAGCCGATTGTCTCTGATAATGGCTACACTTTCATTCGCATTAGAATATGACCAACGAAAAATGCTAAACCAACTCACAAGCCAACTTGAAATTGATATTCAGAAGCTCAACCCCAGAAGGAAAAGGATAAGGGATGCTGTTGATGAGGAAATGGAAGATGAGGAAGAAGAGAATGAAGAAGAAAATGATGAAGAAAATGGCAAGACCAAAAATTGTGACAGACGCTCTAAGGCCAGAGGAAGACGCCCTGTGCCAGAAGATAGGACCGCTGATATGCTTAAAAAGGAAGAGAAATTAATATCTGATGCAGCTAGATTATTACAAGCACAGTTAGTTTCTTTAGAAGTTCTAGCAAATTTATGCTCTGGTGAAGGTATAGAATAACTTCCTTACTGGATTCTAATGCCAAGTTCTTTTTATCTACTCTGTTGATCAAAGTTTTAATAATGTTGTTTTGACCCGTAGATGATGATGAGGATGGTATGGATGCTGATGATTCTGAATCCGAAGGAATGAGCGAGTCAAGTTATACTGAAGAATCAAAGGGGCCAGAATCTGTTCCCTTTGGAATTTCCTCTGATGTAATTATAGATAGGATCATATCTTTTTTTTTTCTTTTTCACATGACCTGCCCTTTTAAAGTTGTTTTTATGTCCTTATCAGATTTTAGAAGCTATTGTGAGCCAACGTTTAGTAACTAAGGTGTGGGATAAAACTATTTTACCTGCCGAAAATGTTTGTGAAATGTTACAAGAGCATATGGACTGTGAAGTTATTTTTAGCAGGTTTGTTTTATTTTTACCTTTTAAATGGTTGTTTTTGTGTTTGCTGTTTTCTTTACCCTTTGACAATTTTGTATTGGAAATAAGACATTGCATCTATTTTACTTTTCCACAGAGTCAATTCACTTCGCAGTAGAGCATTTTTGTGTCTGCAAAATTTAATAGCAGTAATGGACCTTGAGGAGCTGGGTGGTTGTAATGATTTGTACAATATGTGGCTTGAGACAACAAAACTCGTTTTTCAGAAAACCAGTAAGGTTTTGTTTTCTTTTTCTTTAGTATTTAGATTTTAATTTCTTTGTTTCATCTCAAATCTTCGCTTTCTTGCAGAATCTGACGATTTGCCACTTCTTGAGGCAGCAACATCTGTGATGCGAGCTGCAGTTTTACGTCTTGCTCAAGCAAAAGCTACACAGTTTTCATCACTAAGTGCTGATGATCTTCAAGTAAGAGTTGATGTTATAATGTTGATTTATAAAAAGAAAACATATCCAGTATTCAGCAGTTTTATTGCAGATTCTTCTGAAAGGTGAAAGTCAATGTAAAGACCCCAACGTAAGAGCAAATCTCATTCGAATTGTTGGTTGTATTGGACAAATGCTAGCTCCTATTTGTTCACCCCATCTACTGGTAAGCATTGAAGCAGCTGAAATTTCACTCCTACATGAAACACTGTTTCTGCCCATAAAGAAATCTGGTCTTCTGATGTAGTTTCTTTATTTTGTACCTATTGTAAAAATACTGCCATTTCCTAAATAATAATTTAAAAAATGAACTTTCATTAATTCTGTGCAGGTAATTGGGAAGTTTCTGTTGGATGTTGCATCTCGTGATGCCGAGGTTTGGGTTTCTGCAGAGGCACTTGATTGCATATTTGATGTGTTTGGAGAGGATGAAACCGATCAAGCTGCTTTCGATATTGATTTGGTCAACAAATTGCGGTCATTTGCTGGACCATTGAAGAGCAGGGTAATAATTGCGTGCCTTTTATCCTGTTTCATCCAATAACTTCTTTCCCCACCACTTACAAAATATTCATATTAATTTCTTCATCTACAGGTTCGTATGCAGAGGAAAAACCTAGGGGACCATTACTCAGTTGTTATGACAGCCACTTCTAATTTAAATCGGTTCATTAAATACAAAAGTAAAAGGCTATTGAAATTTTCCTCTAATGGACACATCTAAATCTAATCTTTAGATTGGTGGTTGCCAAAGAAGATGTAATGTTATATACTTGCAGACTGCTGCAAAAACTTAGTTGTTTAGAAGAAATATTTAATGGTTTTTACATACAGAAACCATTTTCAAAAAAAATCTTGACAGTGAGTTAGTTTTTGACTTTACCTTAATTGTGTACTGAAATGAGATTCTTTTTAAATGTACGGTACTGTCGGCTTTTATGAAATCATAGTTGAGTCATTCTTTGTTCAACTAAAAGACTGGTATGTCTTGTAATCATGTATATATCCTATGTCCAATTTAATCTACTGTTATGAACAGTATTCATTTTATCGATATATCATTATTTTATATAAGGTCTTTATATTCTGTTAAGAAGTTGTTACTCAAATCAGCATTTTGTGACATTGTATTTAATATGATGATGGTGTAAATAAAACTTACTCACTTGAAGTTCAGTTCTCTTAAAACTAGTAAGTAGGATAAACCTTGATAGAGCTTTGCAAATTATGGAAAAAGAAAATCTTGGAACAGTTTATTCAATCAAATCGGCGTCAGCTAATTATGTGAATTCCATCAGACAAGATATCCTCACATAGGTGTACCATAAATCTTAGGACAATGTAACAAAAGTAAGAAAAATAATGATTTGTTTAAGCTTGAAGGCAGGTATCAAAGTAAAATTACTGAAGGGCTTCCAGTGCTTGCTTACGTATGTCTTCTGCCATAGCCTTGAGTTCGAGATCACTAATTTTTAAAGCTTCGTTTTGATCTTCTAACTTACGAAGCATATCTCTTAGATTAGTGTTTATTTCTACAAAATCTTTGACTTTCGAGTAAACAGTTTCAGACTCGTTGGATTGAACCGTAGGTTCCCGTTTTGATTCACCTAGAAAAGAAATGAATAACTTAAGGCAATTGGAGCTACATGCACATGCTTAATTGTCAATTAATCTCGTGTTTTCTTTCCAAAATTTCTTGAGACAACTGTGTCACATGCATTAACCTCTAACGTTCTCCTACATATGGAACACTCACTGTTGAAAGACTTAACGAAAATATTGTCATCGGGAGAAGAATGGTCTATATCTTCGATTATTTGTTCTACAGTTGGAATTTTTGGTCTAGGTGGAATATCCGGCTTTTTTTTAAACATTGTAGTTGGGTTTTGTTGTTAAGTTTGACAGCAGAAGGAAAAGTGGGCAGTTGGCTAACGGCTGGCGCGTACGGCCAGAGAGATAACTATGGTACGACACAACTCACAACTACAACAACACACAGGTTTCAATCTTACTTTCCTTTTTTAAGATTTCAAAAATATAGTGCCCACGAAAAAATATTCATGTTGTTTTGTAAATCATATTTTTTAAGAGGGGTTGGCGACATTGTGAAGTGCGAATAGCCGTTTCAAGAAGTAAGAAGTACAATACAAAATTCTTCTCGTCCAGTCAAGCTCAAAGATTTTGAGTTGAAAAAGTAATTCAAGACGATTTTCTGTGTAGCGGTCCATCAGTATCATCAATTTCTCCATAATGGAAAGTCTCGAGGATCTTGTGCACAAAATGGAGTCGCAGGTAAGACGATGATATGACATCGGCGCTGCTGCCTAGCAGAAAGACATGAGTGGAAGCGTTGTTTTCGTTACATTTTATTTTGATTTCTAATCTATTTATTAAATAATTACAAAAAAGAATAGCAATATAATCCGTTAAAATGATTTTCCACTTGATTTTTCAAAAAAATTGTTCTTGAAACAGTATTTTTTTCTCTTAAACCGGCAACGAGCCGCACCCAATGACATAACCCTTTGAAGAATCTACAAAACCAGTTTTTGTTGTGATAGCTTTTACCCCCAAATTGTGCTTGTTTATCACCATTTTTATCTTAACCTACTTTGTCCCTTCCACCCTTACAGATGGAGCGAGCTGACAGTAAGCTTGATATTTTGACTATGCGGTTGGACCAGTTTGAAGCAAAAGTTCTTCCGAAAGAAGTAGATGTAAGTCATTGACAAAGACGCATCCATGGATCATTGTGTGTTTCAGTTAATACTAACCACTTTTTTTTGTTTGTTTACATTCGCCCCAAGAAACCTTTTAAAGTCTTCTTATGATTACCTGTATTGTACTTATACCCCACCACAATTAACAGTTTCTTCAACTTCATGAATTCATTGTTTAATAGAAATCTTGTTCCTACCTAGTTCTGGTTTTGAAAGCAGGGAAGATAGTCTTGAAGGTAATATTTTATTTTGAATACTATAGCTTTCTTTGTACTGCAGTTTTTCATAGGAATAATAGAGGGGTTTTCCTCATTCTGTTCCTCAATTTATCTTGTTCCCCTGACAGAACAAGAGAGCTTGCAAAATTTGAAATTCCCCCAAAATATGCTTTGATGCTATTGTTTGTGCCTTGTACTTTCTTTAGATGCCGTTTTAAACCCCGCAAAGTACCGGGACATGTAGAATGTGTGGTTGTCGCAGTTCCATTTGTAAAACTTCAACAGATTTATTTTAGAAATTTTGAAAAAGAGATACGTTTATTTGATACATGAAATTTCCTAACTAGTTGTGAAACCATTCTCACTAGCCTAAATTTTCAGGTACCCAGCTTCTTGTATTTATTATTGATGCATCACCATGAATTATCATATTCTCAGGACAACATTCTCAATCAAGGCTGTTTCAAGGACACCAATTCAGAGGAAATTAAGGAATCAGAAGAACCTGGTGAAGAGGAGCTGGATGACAACAATGGTTTGGACCCCAAGTGTCTCTCTGACATACTTGTGGAAGTCCATCGAGTGAAGAAAGAATATGATCAGGTTCTTCAGGATGTCCATCAGGTCCAAGAGCTACAGCAAGAAGTAACTCGCTCCCTCCGCAAGCAGATGAAACAGGTTCAGAACCATTTTGATCGTCTTCGTGACAGAGTGATTGGTTCAGCTGGCAGCAATACTTTGCCTGTTCAGAAATAACATTCAATCACATATTATCCATCTCATTGACTTAATATTTTCTATGTTTGTACATTTTTGTTGTTTATTGAGGGGCTGATGTCTTATTACTAGGCTAGTTGTTGCTGTTGTAGTTTAGTTTTGTCATCTAAAAAAGTTACCTGTTATTCTTTCAAACAAAAAATAGTGGTTAACTCTATCATAATTAATGTAATAGTAGGTTTATCTGTTTCTACAGCATGATTTTGTGTAAATATTATTGAAATTGGTAAGATTCTTCCATATCAAATAATCTTTGTCTGAAATGGTGATTACTACAACTAAGTATGTAGTGTTACATGTTTCATTAGCATGATCCCTTATAAAAAAGAATTATCAACTTGATGGTATGATTCATTCATAATTAATTTTTTTGTTATGGCTCCTCTAGTAGTCAAATCTTTATAGACTCTTGATGAACTTAGCTCAATATACTGTACTCTACAATAGTGTGTTAGAGCACTTCGGTATTGTTTTACACTTTTTGAGTAGTGTTTGAAGCAATATTTGTTAACTGTGATACAAATGAAAAGGTCCAAGTGACAACGCTTGGTTCCTTTAGCAATAGAATTGTGTACTAACACTGATCTAGTAATTAAGCTAGATAGGAGTCCAGTCTCTCTGCACCTTTCCATATCATAAAAATACTTTTTTTTCTGCATTGTAAAAAGAATTGTTCTGGGAACAAATACGTATTTATGACCAACAGTGCATTAGTAAAGCCGCTCAATGTTTTTAAAAAGTGCACTGTACCTTTTTTTCCCTCCCTTAGTTCAAATATTTTCTGCATTATTCAGAGAATAAGGAAAAGCAAATTAAGTTCAAAAAATTCATTTTTTTTGTTTAATTACTATCTTTGTACATAGTTTTCTGCAAAATTAATTTTCAAAATGCTTGAAAAAATTACGTTGCAACCAAGCTGTACTTTTAAAGAACAAGTACAAAGTGTTCTTTATCTCCTTTTCTTATACATTGTTTCTGACAACTGCATCTAATTTCAATTCCCATATGGCAGGCATAAGCTAATGGTTTGGGCCACAAGACTGAGTAAATGTGATTTAACATAATTATTCTAGAACTGGAATACTAGAGAAATTAACCCTGGGTTGTATCAAAATTGACCCATTGTTCTGTACATTGCACTCTGTTGTTGTATGCTAGTTGAGCATTACAAGTAAAATGCAAAATGTACAAGAGCTTTAAGAAAAAAAGCATGTGATTGAATATTAATAGTTGTTGGCTTACCGTCTGTTATTTTGAGTCATTTTCTAAACTTCATTTCAATTGCCCTTTTTCAGCACAAAATAATATTTACGTTCAGTTTTACATAAAACTTAATGTATTGTAGAAAAATGTTCTAAATCTCGAAGCACTTTTTCATGTCGATCTAAGAAGAATAGCTGAGTGTTAGACGACGATTCATGCCTTATTTGTTGTAATCTAGCGGAGAAAATTTGAAATACACCAAACTTCACTAATTTGTCAACAACCTAGTTGTGTGTGTGTGTGGTGTTTTTCGTATGACTGCAGAAGCCACGTCACACTGTCCTGTTATACGCGTATTCATCACCGCCCTGACAGCGTAATGGCCTTCCCTCATCATCTCGTCGGGCTCTGCTGGTCCAGAGTCGAGCACAGCTTCAGCCCCGGATAGCGGGACATGCTCGCCCATTCAGTTAGCTGCACCGGGGCCCATAGAACGGTTGGGGACGCAAATGCCAGCCGATAATGTATCGTCAAACGGTCCCCCTCCTCGCACTGGTTTTAACCGTGCCGCCCCTGCTGTCCGCCGTTTTGCGGTGTGTCCAGGTACGATACTGGAGCATCCCACTGACACTCCGGCTGGTCGAAATGCGTGGACTTGGTAGCCAAGGCAATACGTCTGGTTCTCCTCTGTGACGAGGTCGAGAAGCAAGGGTCGCCCGTGTTCCACCTGGTGCGGCGGTGCTCGCGCTCGGCCATGTCCGTGGTGGCGCAGGCCAACGTCACCTCCCGAGGCCGGTGCGCTGACCTGGCGGCTTCGCGCCGAGGGCTGGCCTTCAACTACAGTCCGAGAGGTAGACTTGGTCGTCGTGGCTTTGCGAGGTTGGACTCCCCCGAGCACGTAACACAACGCACTGCTCCACAGACGCGCCCCGCGGCGACGGCCAGTTCAGCAGCTCGTGCCTCGTGCTGGACTGCCCCGAGTTCCAGGAGCTGTCGTCGCTCCAGCGCGACGAGGCCTACGACTACTACAGCCTGTTCACGGATCCTATGCGTGAGTACGCCCGTCGCGGCACGGCGAACACCTCCCTGGCGGGTCCCTTGAGCTGATCCGCGTCGTCAGCCCAGGTAGGCTGGTCCTGCGTGCCCGGGGTGGGGCTGTTCCGCGTCCGAGGGCTGTCGACGGGGCCGGAGCGGGCCAACTATTCGGCGGCGGGGGACCAGTGCCGCGAGGACAGCGGCGAGCTCGCCCACGTCCTGAGCGAGGCCAGGACGGCGGGGCTGGCCGCGCTGCTGGCCGCCAAGGGCCTGGACGCCAAGAACCGCACCGTCGGGCCCGTCAACAGGGCCTACGTGAACCTGGACGACACGGCCAAGGAGGGGCTCTTCGTCACCTCGTCCGACGAGCCCCTCGACTGCTTCCCGTTCAGGGCCTGGGCGCCCGGGGAGCCGCGCCACCGCCTGCCCACCGACGATTGCGTCGTGCTGGAGCGGCGCCCGGCCGGCGGCTCCTGGGCCGTCACGGACTGTCGCAAGAGGCTGCCCTTCGTCTGCGAGCTGTACCCGGGCCCCGGCGGCGAGTGCGACGAGGACGGTAAGCTGCAGCGGCGAGCAATAGCGCCTGTGGAGCGTGGGGTAGGCAGACCCGCCGCGCGGCCGAGTGCTGCGGGACAGTGCGACGCGCCGGCGCTACGCCACCCGAATGCCGCAAGAGAAAGAAAATATCTTTCAAAGAAATCGTTTAGAACATGAGCCTGTGATCGTGATCCCCGTTCCAGACTCGGCGTGCCGGTCGCTGCGACGCCTGCAGGGCAGCCCGGAGGACCGGTGCGAGGGCTGGGACATCCTGGCCGTGCCGCCCGCCCAGCCCACCACCACAGGGGCGCCCATCACACCCGAGTACCCCGACGACGACGACGACGAGGGGCAGCAGGGCGGCGCGGGGCAGGGGGAGGGCGACGAGGACGAGGATGACGACGGCGAGGACGGTCGCGTCTCCAAAAGGTCGGCGCCCGTGAGGGGCGCGCTGTGAGAGGACTGGCACCGGGGTGGTGAGAGAGGGGGGGGGGCAAACTCATTTCAAACTTTCATCGCCCCTCGCCTCGCCTCTTGCTATCAAACTGCTGCAGGTGGGGATTCGCACCGCCGTATACCGCAGATCCCCCAGAACTTTTCTCGCCGCTATAATGCTTTGGTTTCGAGCATTTCCACGCTCCCGCTAAAGACTACCGTCCTTTTCGAGCGCGACCTAGACCGTCGAAAGGATTTTGAGACGCCAGCAGGGTGATTCCGCACACCGCACGTGGAGGCTAGCTCCCTCGCGCGAGGGACTTCTCTCTCCCTCTGTCCGTGA